CCTTTCCATCTACTACCTGGTGAGGGCAGCGGGGACGGGGGGGGATGGGGATGTGGGGATGGGGACGTGGATGGGACACCGATGGGGGTGTGGATGGGGACACGGATGGGGACAGGATGATGGGGATATTGTTGAGGACACGGGACGTGGATGGGGACATGGCAATGGGGACATGGATGGGGACATTGGTGTGGGTATGGATGGAGACGTGGTGACAAGGACGTGGGTGGGGACACGGATGGGGACACAGGGATGGGGACATGGGACATGGATGGGGCCATAGATGTTGGGTATGGATTGAGACGTGGTAGGGACATGGATGGGGACATGGACGGGGTTGTGATTCTATGACATGTATGGGGACGTGGCAGTGGGGCTGTGGATGGAGATGCAGGTGGGAAATGAATGGGGACAATGGTGATGGGGACACAGATGAGGACATGGGTGGATACAGCAATGGGGACATGGATGGGGACATTGGTGTGGGCATGGATGGAAACATGGTGATAAGGACACGGATGGGGACACGGATGAGGACATGGGTGAGGACACAGATGGGGACAGGGATGGAGACAGATGGGGAGGGACACGGAGGGGGACACGGCTGGGGAGACGGATGGGACACAGATGGGGGCATGGGGTGAAGACATGGATGGGGACGTAGTTGGGGACATAGATGGGAACATGAGTGAGGACACGGGTGGGGACGCATGGGGACACGGATGGGGACACGGTCCATATCAGCCCTCCCTGCTGCTCCCAGGGCAAGAAGTTCGTGGGGGACCTGGGTGCGGACGGGGCCATCACGTGGCAGGAGACGGGGCAGGTGTTCGGCTCACCCAGCGCCTGGGCCACGCACTGCAAGCGCCTGGTGAACCCTGCCAAGAAGTCGGGCTGCGGTTGGGCCTCCGTGCGCTACAAGGGGCAGCGCCTGGATCAGTACAAGGCTGCGTGGCTGCGGCGCCACCAGCCCCACGCGCCCAGCGATGAGGTGGGAACCCGGAGGCGTCCCCAAGGAGGGGCCTGGCGTGTCCCCGTGGGTGTCCCTGAGGAGGGGACTCGGGGGGGTTCCTGTGGTGACTCCAAGGATCTCCATTGGGGCGTCCCCAGTGCCTCGGGTTCGGGGTGGTGTCTCCAGGGACAGACCTGGGTGTCCCCGTGGGTGTCCCCAAACAGGCGTCCTGGGGACTGGGGAGGTGTTTCAAGGGGTCCCCGTGGGTGTCCTCAAGGTGAAGTCTTGGGGTGTCCCAGGGCCTGGGGTTTCTCTGTGGGTTTCCCAAGGAGGTGCATCAGGTCTCCATGGGTGTCCCCGAGGAAAGGCCTGGGGTGTCCCCATAGGTGTCCCCAAGGAGGTCCGTTTTGGTGTCCTCGGGAGATGCCTAAGGTCTCTGTGGATGTCCCCCAGAGGTGTCTCAGATCCCCATTGGTGTCCCTGGGAATGGGTCTGGGACGTCCCCCTCGGTGCCCCCAAGGAAATGCCCTTGAGCCTCAGGGTGCTCCCACGGGGGTCCCAAGGAGGAGCCTTGGGGGGGTTCCCATCCGTGTCACCGCAGAGGTTCCCCGTGGGTCCCTGGCGTGGGCACGGCCCTCAGCCCCTCCTGGTGCTCTGCCCCAGGCTCTGCCCAGCGAGGGCGAGGAGGATGAGCTGCCCGAGGAGGAAGAGGAGGAGGCTGGGGACGGCCGAACGCCCGCACCGGAGCCAGCAGCCACCAAGAGAACGGAGGAGAAGAGCAAGAAGCTGCCGGGCCGCGGCACAGCAGAGCAGGGTGAGGGGTAATGGTGGCAGGAAGGGGGTTGCAGGGAATGGTAACTGATGGTGGTAACGGGGGGCCGTGCGCTGCTTACAGAGCCCACCCCCCTGGCGAGGAGGCCGGAGAGCAAAAGCCGGGCGCCCGTCCGCTATTGCATGCTGGGCACACGCGACGCAGCCAGGTAGGGACCCCCAGCCTCACCTCGGTCAGCCCTCGGGGTGGGGAGGGCCGGGGGGAGCGGGGCTGTGTCTGTTGCAGGAACCCACAGACCCTGGTGGAGGTGACGTCCTTCGCCGCCATTAACAAGTTCCAGCCCTTCAACGTGGCCATCTCCAGCAACGTCCTCCTGCTGCTGGTGCGTCCCCTTCCCCTGCTGGGATCTTAGGATCCCTTTTAGGATCCCCTCGGCCCATTCCTTTTTCCTTTAGGATTTCCACAGCCACCTGACGCGCAGTGAAGTCGTGGGCTATCTGGGAGGCCGCTGGGACACCAACACGCAGCGTAGGCAATGGGGGACAGGGGGGAACAGCCCCTGGCGCTGCCACCCACCCCCACGTCCCCGCAGTGCTGACGGTGCTGCGCGCGTTCCCGTGCCGGAGCCGCCTGGGCGACGCTGAGACCGCAGGTGCCGTGGAGGAGGAGGTAACGCGAGGCCCCGCCGCCCCCCGGTGCCCCCTGTGATGTGGGGGGGTCCGACGTGATCCTCGCCCCCCAGATCTGCCAGAGCCTGTTCCTGCGGGGGCTGTCGTTGGTGGGTTGGTACCACAGCCACCCCTTCGGCCCCGCGCTGCCCTCCCTGCACGACATCGACGCGCAGATGGATTACCAGCTCAAACTGCAGGGCAGCGGCAACGGCTTCCAGCCCTGCCTGGCCCTCATCTGCGGTAAGCACCCACCCCTGGGGGGGCACAGGGCGGCAGCCCCCCCCCCCCCCCATCAGCCCCATCTCTCCTCCCAGGGCCCTACTATGCTGGTAACCCCGGTGTGGAGTCCAAGATTGCGCCCTTCTGGGTGATGCCACCGCCTGAGGTGAGCGGCTCCCATCGCCTCCTCAGGGGGGGCCCAGCGCAGTGACAGATGGGTGACCCCACTGGGTGACCCCACTCCCCTCTCATCCAGCAACGGCCCAACGACTACGGCATCCCCATGGATGTGGAGGTGGCCTACATCCAGGATGGCTTCCTCACCAACGACGTCCTGCAGGAGATGGTGAGCGTGGGGCAGGAGCTGTCATACAACCACAGAACGGCCTGGGTTGCAAAGCAGCACAACGCTCATCAGTTCCAAGCCCTGCTGTGTGCAGGTCAACAACCAGCAGCCCAGGCTGCCCAGAGCCACATCCAGCCTGGCCTCGAATGCCTGCAGGGCTGGGGCATCCACAGCCTCCTTGGGCAGCCTGTTCAGTCCCTCACCCTCCTCTCACCTCCAAACCCAGGCCGTGCCCCTGCCACCCGTCCCAGCTTTGGGGACGATCTCTCCTCTATCCTTGTTTGCTCTGGGGGTCTGGGGAAGGAGCACTCAGCCCCACTGCAGCCCCCTGCCCCCGTCCCCAGACGCTGCTGGTGGAGTTCTACAAAGGAGCCCCGGACCTGGTGAAGTTCCAGGAGCTGTGGAGCCAGGACCAGACCTACCTGGATAAGCTGAAGGTGGGCAGTGCTTCCTGGGAGCTCAGCTCTACCCGCCCCGCTCCTCCCAGAGCTGTTAATTGGGTTTTACTTCACCCCGGTGCAGGGCAGAGCAGAGTGCACAGGGTGAGCCTGGCGAGCAGAGCTGCGTTCCTCTCTGCAGGGCTCCCTGGCCTCTCGCAGCCCCAAGGACCAGAGCTTTGCCCACATCCTGGAGCAGATCTACGGCCTGCTGAGGTACAGCAGCTGAGCAGGAGCTGCAATGGGAGCAGGGGCTGCAAGCAGCACCGCAGGGACGCAGCATCGCCCTGGGAAGCTGAAGGAAGGACCGGAGGCAGCAGCTGGGGGCACAGGGCAGCGGGGCTCCTGGGGGCCCAAGGCTCCGCAGTGTAACAGAGCACAGAGAAATAAAGGAGGAATCCCAGTCTCACCTCTTCCACACACACGCGGCTCTCTGCCCCACAGCTGCCCTCAGGGCCGAAAGCAGAACTTGTCTCGATTCCACAGCCAGGCTGCCAAAGACCCCGGGAAGAAGGAAGCGTTTGTTCACCATCAACTGCTTTTATTGTTCTGGAAAAATGGAATGTTTCACTAACAGAAACTTCAATGCCGACCAAGAACACGTTCATAACAAAGAAAGGAAACCAATCAGCTGAACTGATAGAGCGTTTGGCTACGATGTGGCAGCAGTCTCGCTTTTTCGTCATCACAAATTCAAGTTGCTCAATAAAACTCACCCCCATTGGCGTTTTGTATTAAAAATAGATTTTTCTGTCTATAGATCTGTGTATTAAAGCGCTCTCAGTAGCGGCGGGCGAAGCGCGGCTCGGTCGCTCTGTGTCCCCGCTCCTGGCCTGCAAACCCCCCCTGCACTGCAGCACTCGGTGCCACCTGGCTGTGGTTTGGGCCCTGCGTGAATCCTCCACGCCTACAAGGGAGAGCAGACAGGCTGGGAACGGGACGGGAAGCAAGAGGCGGCCGCGCGTCTCCCAGCAGCCATTTGATTCTGTCTGGGTTTTTTTTTCCCCTCCTACTTGCAAATCCACACTCGAGCTGGATCTCAAAGCGTGCCTCTGCACTTTGCACGCGGCATTTTGCCTTGGTTCAGGCCTGTTGGTACCCAGGTGACAGCTCCTTACCCTGCCATCCCGCCGCGGTGCGTCGCGTGGCCTGGTCCCTGCTGACCAGGCGTGCCTCGATCACCACCTGAGCACAGAACGAGAGAAAGCAGCGGTGGGGGGAGGAGAAAAGGCCTTCGTGTTGCCCTACCAGAAAAGCCAGATCGTCCCCAGTTTGATTTGCTTTCTCGGTAACGCTGTGAAGGTCGGCAGGCTTTAATTACCACCACAAGTTCAGCAGCAGTCATTGATAGAAAGACCACGATCACACTGGGAAGCAGCAAGTGTACCTTGCCATCTCTCATGATCCCGTCCCATCACTCCTCCAGCCACACTGCCCTGCCATGAACGATCTTGATGCCCCTCTAACTTTCGACCATGATCTCCCCAGTCACGTCCATCTCTTAAAAAAATAAAAGAGAATCTTCTAGGCGCCCCTTATCGCTGCGGCAGCGCAGGAGGCGCTACCTGCACAGCCCCACGTGCTGGGTGGAGCACAGAGCGGGCGAGATGCGACCAGCCAGCCAACCCCTGCTCCCTGTCTGCACTCAGCCCCACGCTGCTGGGATGCATCCAGCCCGGCTGCTGACTTGCACAGAAACCACCAGCATGCTCAGCTCCCCCCATCACCTCCGTCTGCTGAATGCCGAGTTCTAGCTAGGAGCGCTGCTCTGCCCGGGGCAGCTAACAGCACCCAGCCTCACCTGGGAAGGGGAGCTGCTTACAGGGCCCCTCCTCGCCCCTAAATCCCTGGCGCATCCCGACCAGAGGCTCCAAGGACCCAGCAGGAGGAAGGCCTCGCACCGCGCTCCCACCAGCGCCCTCGTTTTACCCGCGAGGACGAAGCGCCGCCGCAGCCTGGCGCCGGAGCACTAACCGGGTGGGCGGGGGAATCCCTCTGCCTTCGTTCATCCTCCGCTCCGACCCATAACCGCCCCAACCGTCGCGGGATTCCCGCGGGTGCCGCTCGGGGCCGTGCCGCTCGTCGGGGTAATGCTGCAAGGCAAGCGGGGCGGTCACAGCGCCGGCTCCCCCCCCTCCCCAGCAGCAGCACGCAGCTCCGCACAGGGCGCTGTGCCGCTCAGCTCCACAAAGCAAAGCGGCAGCTGCCCCTCGTTCTGCTGCTGCGCTTTGTGCGCTTGGCTCCGGTTTGGTTTCACAGCCCCACTTGCAGGTGGGTGCCGGCTTTTGGCACAACGTCTCTTTCTACACCAGTGTTAAGAGAAGGGAAACCCCCCCCCCCAGCTGCTGCATCGCAGGGCTTTGAGGCAGGAATCCGTCACCACGCGCCGCCCCCCGGCCCCAGCGCTGACAGACAGACGCCTCAATGCCAGCAGCTCCAGTTGAGAACAGGTAGCAGCGTGCTGCTCCTGCTTTGCCCTTGGTGTGAAATGAAGCCATGATGTGGATGCCACCCACCTGCCCGTCTCTGTCTGGGATTCCTCTTGAACCTTCTCTTCTGGAAAGAAAAAAAGTTTCAGTTAAGCCAACAGTTGTAATCCATAAGCAGCACCTTTGTGTTTGGAGAGCTGTGAGTCTGAGAAGCCAGCATCTGTCCAGCTGTAACATACTGAAAGGAGTTTTGATGTCATACAAAGAGACCAAAGGAAGGCTCAGAGCAATGAGTAATTCAGGTGACACTGAGTGATGGCCAGCAGGACGAGGGCAGACCTGGAGCCAAGGAAGAACAGAGTGAACCCACCAGCACAGAAATGAGTTAGAAGCAGAAGTGGCACAGCTCCTCCCAAAGCTCCTCAGAGAGCAGCCCAAAGTGCCCACACTGCACAGAGCACTTCTGCAGACTGTGGAGCTAAAGTCAGTGTAAGCTGTGCTGCCAAGGAGCTGGGAAAGCATTGCAGCAAAAGGAAGGTGTGACATCTTGGATTAATTGGCCTGGATTCACAAATCACACCTCCATGCACCTTGAGGACTGCAGGACTGCCCTCGGCACAGCTGAGCTGGGGGGGCACAGCGCTGCAAGTACGCATGGGATCAGATGCAAGAAAAGCACGAGGCTCATCTGTTTTCAGCACTGCTCGAGCCACGAGTGAGGCAGAAAGACACCGAGTTTCCTTCAGGGTATGGGGAGAAGAACCTGTGCCTCGTGCTGACCTGTCCAAGGAATGATCCTGGTACCGGCCGCGATCCCTGTGGTCGAAGTCGTGGAAGCGGTCCTGGCGCACAAACTCAGAGTGGTATCTGTCATCCAGCACCACCCGCTTCGCCTCTGGCCAGTACGGATCATCTCGCCTGCAAGGAAGGAAGCCAACCTGGTACGGAGCTCCTTTCTTCATCTCGAGTGAGACCTCGGGATCAACCCGCACGCAATCCCACCATTCTAGAGTTATTTCTGATTTGTAATTGAGGCCTCAGGACACCACCCCAAAAAGCAGACCCTCAGCAGGGGCAGACATGAGAACAAGCCCCTCCTGCTGGCCCCCCTGCTTTACAGTTTAGATTCCCAGAACCATCCAAAGTTGAAGATCTTCAAGATGCAGTGCAACCATCAGCACAACCTAACGGGCGCATCACTGAGCCACGTCCCCCAGTGCCATTCCCACACGTCCCAAATACCCACAGGGACGGAGACTCCACCCTGGGCAGCCGTTCCAACACCTGACCACTGACCACCCTCTCCATGAAGAAATTCTGCTTCATTTCCAACCTAAACTCCTCCAGCACACCTCACACCGCTCTCCTGCATCCTCCAGAACAGTGCATCTGCAGGCAGACGTGGCCAGAGCCTGGTATCCCACTGCAGTTACCTGCCATCATCGTAGGGCCTCCTCATTGCTGAGCGCCGCTCCTGCTCGTAGCGCAGCTGCTCCTGCTGGCGCCGCAGCTCCTCCCTCTCCCTCTGGATCCGTTCCTGCTCTCTCCTCCTCTCCTGCTCGATGTGCATCCTTTCCCTCTCCAATCTCTCCCTCTCCAAGCGCTCTCTGTCCAGACGCTGCCTTTGAAATTCGAGTCTCTCCCTCTCCCTCTGCAGCCTCTGCCTTTCGTCCCTCTCGTGCATGGCCTGAAGGCGCTGCTCTCGCTCTCGCCTTTCTCTCTCTCTAATTGAAAAGGAGACATTTGTTTTTCAGTCAATTATCTCCAATCGAGGCTTTATTGCTCATTTTTGGTGCTCCTATTAGTTCACCTTTCAAAACAGAAGTTATGTTTTTCTCACTGTAGGATTAAATACAAACGGCCTCTTCTCAACCCAACCAAAGCTGCTTAATAGGAGCCCAAAGGGAGTTAAGCACTCCACATCAGTAAGGCAGCACCTGCTCTAATATGGGCCGAGAAAGTTTTGGTAGAGCACAGCGTGGCAGCACAGAGCTCCAACAACTGAAGGATTTAGGAGACATGTCAAAACTTCCAGGCAGAACACAAGCATGAGGAGCATTCAGCTCTGCCTCAGCACAACGCGTGAGCTGGGGGTGCCCACAGAAGCCATCGCCCACAGCAGCCTCTCAGAAGCACAAGCTTAGCGATGGCCGGTTTGGGTACAGAAAAACCTTCCCAGCTCTGCACAGCAGCTCAGCATCAGAGCGAGCCGAGCTGCCATCGTGGAAAGGCCCACAGGGAACCCGGCTGCAGCACAGCTGGGGCTGCAGAGCAGAGCCTGGCACTCACCGCCGCCGCTCCGTCTCCCGGATCTCGCGCTCTCTCTGCCGCTGCCGCTCGCGCTCGCGCTGCTCTTTGATTTTATCGAACGACAAGATGTCCTGCTTCTCCTTGCTCTCAGATTTGCGGTCCTGGCTCTTGGTGCTCTGAGGCAAATCAAAGAATTACATTTAGCTGAATGCTTCCAGCCATGACTCCCAAGCAAAACACCCGCTTGGTTTCGACTCAGAACGCTGCCGCCCTCCTGGAGGTGAACGGCGTGGAATCACACACAGGAGTCGGGGAGAAGCGCCCAGAATTTGGCCAGAGCTTCTGGTGAGTGTAAGAGCACATAAATACTAGAGGCACATGGCCTGCCTGGTGCTGCTGGTAAGCGATAGCACTGCAAAGGTCACCGGGCACCACACTGCAGACGGATCATCTTAACACCACTGTCAAATTACATTCCTACTTCCTCAGCTCCAGCAGCACGACTGCGAGGTGAGGCACCAGCATTTACCTTCACAGCGCAATTGACTCCTTAACGCTTCCTAAAACGCTGCCACAGGTCAACAGTTCCCCACACAGGAGGCAGAACTCCCTGCAGCCCTCACACAGGTAGGATCAGGACACCCTGCAGCCCTCACACAGTAGGGTCATTCACACCTGCTCTTACAGAGAAGTGCCCACGAAGCCCTGCTTACCCTCTCTTTGGAAGCAGATGTTTTCACGCTAATAACGGGTTCTCCTTTAGATTTATCCATCACCACTGTCCTCTCAGTTCCTCGACTTGCTAGAAAACAAAAGCACACAGGAATAAATACTACTGCAGATAGATGTATCAGGATAATATCAATAATCAGGATAATATCAATAATATCAGCACATTATTTTACCAGGGTTGTTAGGTGACTTGTGCAAGAACGTATCACCATTTACAACAGCCTGCCAACCACGTGCAAGCTGGGGGAAAGGGCACAGAATCTATGCTAACGCCTCAGTGAAGCACTCTCTAGCAGAGCTGGAGGTTTACAAGAAAGCAAATCAGCTGATGTCTGCAGAACACACACTTTTGCCACAGTTAATGAACTACAAACCTCTCCACAGCTGCTCACACTGCACCAGCTCTTCCAAGCACTGCACCTGCCAACACACCTGATTTGCTCGCCCTGGATCGATCGGAGGCTCCAGCCTTCTGCTCCTCTTTCTCTTTCCCTTCCTTCTCATCCTTTGAATCTTTCTCAGATTTCTTCCCATCGTCTTTTTTGTCGGCCTTCTCCTCCTTTTTAACACCACCAGACCTGCAGGCGAACTTTGCTTTAATAGAAGACCTGACAAGAAGTGCTCAGTCACCACTCCTACCAAAGACAAAAGCATCCTAACGCCACTTCTGTGCTGCCAAGCACCAACAGCACGCCAGGCTGCACTTGTGCACGGGCTGCAGAGCAGCAAACACCACTGAGCCAAGGCTGCCTGAAAGCCAGGGACTACAGATGTGACCCCTCTCAGGATGGAGAGTGAGTGCTACAAACACAAATCTCCGCTGCAGCTCAGCTCATGCATGGCACGGGGAGAAGGGCTCACCCAGCTGCAGGCTGAGCTCCACGACAAGAGAAGCTTTCAAACAAATTCTTATGCATCTGACACAAGGAATTCAGCCTGCAGCTCCTTTGCAGGACTTTGGTGACTTTATGAGGCAGTAAAGCAAAATGCCTCTTTCAAAAGGAAAAGAGCATGTGGAAAACAAAGTACGGGAGCACTGCTTACTCATCATTTGGCCTATCAGCAAACAGACCAGTTACCAGGAAGATTTGTCAGCGCAGTCATAGTGGCCATAAAGCCTTAATGATTCTAAAACCATTTAGCCCAACCAGCAACGAGCAGAACAAATCCAAACCAGACGAGAGGACAAAATTCTGATTAAAAAATATTGGTTGCTGTGACATGATCTCACACAGCTGGTGTGTTTTGTTACAGAACACTGAAACTCCCCGTTTTGTAACAGAGAGCCCATTAAGATGCACTTCTGGCTATTTTTCCAGTATGACTCTTGCTCCAGATGCAGCAAGCAGCAAATCAAGACTCACTGCAATTCCTGTCCCCTTTTCTGACGCGGCTGTGTTTCAAAGGAGCGGTCTTTAAACACAGGAAAATACACATTAAAGAAAAAACAAAGCACACAAAACACTTTACTTCTCAGATTTGGAATCTGCAGAATGGTGCCTGTCTTTTTCCTTCCGCGCTTCGCCTTCCTTTCTGTCTGAAGGCTTTTTCCCAGCCGGTTCATTTTTGGCCTAGAATTTCAGCAAGAAGCGTTTTTTTTGTTTTTTTTTTTTTTCTTAAACAATAAAACACAGGCATTAAAATTCCACCTTTCGTTCCAACATCCTGCCACGTGAGAGCTACCGCCGACCTTTTCCACAGAAATCATCTTCCCGTGCAGCTCTGTCCTGTGCAGGTGATTGATGCACTTGGTGGCTTCCTCAGACGAGGCCATGGTCACAAAGCCGTAGCAGCGCGCGCCGGGACTGCGAGCGTTTGTCACCACTTTTGCACCAACCACCTGCAGGGGAAGAAGAAGAAAAAGCCCTCGTGGTTGGAGAAACAAGGGTAAATTAGCTCTGATCAACCGTGTGAGCAGCTCTGCTTGCTGGTGATAGCAGCGTGTGCTCGGTTTTAACGCAGAGGAAACGTTCCTGGCACACAACGCTTTGCTGGCACTCCAGGACAGCAGTGCTAAGCTCACTTCAGAGATGGGTTCATTGTAACCTGGCACACACTGCTGGGCCCACAGTGTTCCAAAGGTGCCTCAGCCAAGCTTGACTGCACAAAATACCCTTGGAAGAGATCACAGAACGGCCTGGGCTGCAAAGGACCACGACGCTCATCTGGTTCCAACCCCCTCCGTGTGCAGGGTCGCCAACTGGCAGCCCAGAGCTGTGGGACTGATTTGATGATTAAGCTCTTGAAAGAGACACCACCACAAAACCCACGCTCAAAATCGGTCCTTGAGGTGCTGAGCAGGGTGCTGACTTAAAGATACCCAAGCAGGAGAATAACCTAATTCATCTGCCTTTCCTCAGGAGACATCTGTCAGCCTCTATCCCCAAATGCCTACAGGCAAGTCGTGCCCAGCGACACAAACATCCACATCACACCAGGGAGGCAGGAGGGAGGGGAGGTGGCCTTGCAGTGAGCTCCCCTCTGCAAGTGCTGCCCTCACATCCAGAGCTGCCTTAATTTTAGAGCAGCTGAGCAGAGATCCTCCAAAACCACTATTTCCCTTTTGTCCCATGCCACACAACTTTATGACATTCATTACTTTCAGTTTCAATAGAACGCAGGAAGAGTTCAGTGCTCAGTCCAGCCAGCCATTAGAAAAGCCAGAAGTGAGCAGAACTTCCAGGGCCCCCCATGAGTCACGCTCGCTGTCAGCCTGCCCCCCCTCCACGCACCTTTCCGTACTTGCTGAAGAGATTCTTCAAGTCCGTTGCCCTCGTGGAGGATGAGAGGCCGCTGACCCACAGATTTCTGCCAGAGCCGCTGCCAGCACGGCCTGAGGGAACAGAAACACAGCGTAAAATCCAACCTGCAACCTTTTAAGCAAGAACACAACAGTGAGAAAACAACTCCGCTTTCTCCCCTCCTGCTCAAACCTCTTCCAGCACAACGTCAACTTCACCACTTCCAAAACATTCCCACTTAAAACCAGAGCATAAACTGCAGCCCTCAGCAATTAACTTTAGAGCTCTACATCCAAATAGCCTGAAGGAGTTCTCACCTACACACAGGCCTCCTTACACTGTAATCACTTGGAAGAGAATGACAAAATATTAAGCGTTAACACAAAACAAACTCCTTTCAATTGACGTTTTTATTTCTTGAAGGAAAACAGCCTACCTTTCTCATCTTTGGAGGCTTGCTTTGTATCTTTGTCCTCCTCCACAGGGCTAAAGACAAAACAACACGTTATTCAACCAAGCATCAGATAGAGCAAGTTCAGGTTGTACACTAGAATTTTATACCTACCAGTACCAATTAGTTCTGAAATAAAAGGTACCTCTGCAAATTTTTGGAAGAGTGACTGGAAATACGGGACTCGTATACTTAAGATGACAATTAATGCTGTTTTGCAGATGAGAGAAATCAGAGTAATTTAAGGAAACAACCTTTGAAGGTTGAGGAAGGAA